CCATACTGCACAACAAGCAGAAGTTTCGGGTTCAAGCCCCACCCCAGATCAGTTCTTTTCTTCTAGATGATTCTAAATTATTTAATAAATTATTAAAATTATAATTATTAATTTAGATAAGAGATGGCACCTAACATCTACCTCTAGTAATAAATTATTTAGTATCTAATCATTAAATAGTGGATTTTTAGCCTGATTATTTAAGGCGATATCTATATATATCAGGCTTCAGGATGTTTGATATACTCATCATGAGACTCATAGTGCCATGAGCAAAAAAAAAAAAAAAAAAAAAAAAAAAAAAAAAAAAAAAAAAAAAAAAAAAAAAAAAAAAAAAAAAAAAAAAAAAAAAAAAAAAAAAAAAAAAAAAAAAAAAAAAAAAAAAAAAAAAAAAAAAAAAAAAAAAAAAAAAAAAAAAAAAAAAAAAAAAAAAAAAAAAAAAAAAAAAAAAAAAAAAAAAAAAAAAAAAAAAAAAAAAAAAAAAAAAAAAAAAAAAAAAAAAAAAAAAAAAAAAAAAAAAAAAAAAAAAAAAAAAAAAAAAAAAAAAAAAAAAAAAAAAAAAAAAAAAAAAAAAAAAAAAAAAAAAAAAAAAAAAAAAAAAAAAAAAAAAAAAAAAAAAAAAAAAAAAAAAAAAAAAAAAAAAAAAAAAAAAAAAAAAAAAAAAAAAAAAAAAAAAAAAAAAAAAAAAAAAAAAAAAAAAAAAAAAAAAAAAAAAAAAAAAAAAAAAAAAAAAAAAAAAAAAAAAAAAAAAAAAAAAAAAAAAAAAAAAAAAAAAAAAAAAAAAAAAAAAAAAAAAAAAAAAAAAAAAAAAAAAAAAAAAAAAAAAAAAAAAAAAAAAAAAAAAAAAAAAAAAAAAAAAAAAAAAAAAAAAAAAAAAAAAAAAAAAAAAAAAAAAAAAAAAAAAAAAAAAAAAAAAAAAAAAAAAAAAAAAAAAAAAAAAAAAAAAAAAAAAAAAAAAAAAAAAAAAAAAAAAAAAAAAAAAAAAAAAAAAAAAAAAAAAAAAAAAAAAAAAAAAAAAAAAAAAAAAAAAAAAAAAAAAAAAAAAAAAAAAAAAAAAAAAAAAAAAAAAAAAAAAAAAAAAAAAAAAAAAAAAAAAAAAAAAAAAAAAAAAAAAAAAAAAAAAAAAAAAAAAAAAAAAAAAAAAAAAAAAAAAAAAAAAAAAAAAAAAAAAAAAAAAAAAAAAAAAAAAAAAAAAAAAAAAAAAAAAAAAAAAAAAAAAAAAAAAAAAAAAAAAAAAAAAAAAAAAAAAAAAAAAAAAAAAAAAAAAAAAAAAAAAAAAAAAAAAAAAAAAAAAAAAAAAAAAAAAAAAAAAAAAAAAAAAAAAAAAAAAAAAAAAAAAAAAAAAAAAAAAAAAAAAAAAAAAAAAAAAAAAAAAAAAAAAAAAAAAAAAAAAAAAAAAAAAAAAAAAAAAAAAAAAAAAAAAAAAAAAAAAAAAAAAAAAAAAAAAAAAAAAAAAAAAAAAAAAAAAAAAAAAAAAAAAAAAAAAAAAAAAAAAAAAAAAAAAAAAAAAAAAAAAAAAAAAAAAAAAAAAAAAAAAAAAAAAAAAAAAAAAAAAAAAAAAAAAAAAAAAAAAAAAAAAAAAAAAAAAAAAAAAAAAAAAAAAAAAAAAAAAAAAAAAAAAAAAAAAAAAAAAAAAAAAAAAAAAAAAAAAAAAAAAAAAAAAAAAAAAAAAAAAAAAAAAAAAAAAAAAAAAAAAAAAAAAAAAAAAAAAAAAAAAAAAAAAAAAAAAAAAAAAAAAAAAAAAAAAAAAAAAAAAAAAAAAAAAAAAAAAAAAAAAAAAAAAAAAAAAAAAAAAAAAAAAAAAAAAAAAAAAAAAAAAAAAAAAAAAAAAAAAAAAAAAAAAAAAAAAAAAAAAAAAAAAAAAAAAAAAAAAAAAAAAAAAAAAAAAAAAAAAAAAAAAAAAAAAAAAAAAAAAAAAAAAAAAAAAAAAAAAAAAAAAAAAAAAAAAAAAAAAAAAAAAAAAAAAAAAAAAAAAAAAAAAAAAAAAAAAAAAAAAAAAAAAAAAAAAAAAAAAAAAAAAAAAAAAAAAAAAAAAAAAAAAAAAAAAAAAAAAAAAAAAAAAAAAAAAAAAAAAAAAAAAAAAAAAAAAAAAAAAAAAAAAAAAAAAAAAAAAAAAAAAAAAAAAAAAAAAAAAAAAAAAAAAAAAAAAAAAAAAAAAAAAAAAAAAAAAAAAAAAAAAAAAAAAAAAAAAAAAAAAAAAAAAAAAAAAAAAAAAAAAAAAAAAAAAAAAAAAAAAAAAAAAAAAAAAAAAAAAAAAAAAAAAAAAAAAAAAAAAAAAAAAAAAAAAAAAAAAAAAAAAAAAAAAAAAAAAAAAAAAAAAAAAAAAAAAAAAAAAAAAAAAAAAAAAAAAAAAAAAAAAAAAAAAAAAAAAAAAAAAAAAAAAAAAAAAAAAAAAAAAAAAAAAAAAAAAAAAAAAAAAAAAAAAAAAAAAAAAAAAAAAAAAAAAAAAAAAAAAAAAAAAAAAAAAAAAAAAAAAAAAAAAAAAAAAAAAAAAAAAAAAAAAAAAAAAAAAAAAAAAAAAAAAAAAAAAAAAAAAAAAAAAAAAAAAAAAAAAAAAAAAAAAAAAAAAAAAAAAAAAAAAAAAAAAAAAAAAAAAAAAAAAAAAAAAAAAAAAAAAAAAAAAAAAAAAAAAAAAAAAAAAAAAAAAAAAAAAAAAAAAAAAAAAAAAAAAAAAAAAAAAAAAAAAAAAAAAAAAAAAAAAAAAAAAAAAAAAAAAAAAAAAAAAAAAAAAAAAAAAAAAAAAAAAAAAAAAAAAAAAAAAAAAAAAAAAAAAAAAAAAAAAAAAAAAAAAAAAAAAAAAAAAAAAAAAAAAAAAAAAAAAAAAAAAAAAAAAAAAAAAAAAAAAAAAAAAAAAAAAAAAAAAAAAAAAAAAAAAAAAAAAAAAAAAAAAAAAAAAAAAAAAAAAAAAAAAAAAAAAAAAAAAAAAAAAAAAAAAAAAAAAAAAAAAAAAAAAAAAAAAAAAAAAAAAAAAAAAAAAAAAAAAAAAAAAAAAAAAAAAAAAAAAAAAAAAAAAAAAAAAAAAAAAAAAAAAAAAAAAAAAAAAAAAAAAAAAAAAAAAAAAAAANTTCTTCCTACTACTTGATTAATATTGTAAACAATAGTAACATAAGTTAAAATTTATTCAAGTAATCAAAAAAGGATACAAATAAACATTCCAACAGTCACATAAACAGACAATAAACTTATTTTATTGGGATTTTGTAAAGTAAAAATCACTGTAAACATCTTAGGATAGAAGAACTGTATTCTTCCATGAGTCTTATGTTTTAATAAGGAGCTCTGGTCCTCAAAAGTACTTTAGTAGTACTTTTGAGGACCAGAGCTCCTTATTAAAATTACAAAGTACTATAAAAATACTTCTGAAAGAAGGTAATTTTTTTAAATCTACGATTTAAATGTATTAGAAGCCATAAATTAGTAGGAGTCAATTTTAAATGTTTCTAGAATCACCAAATTTATATTTTTTCACAGTTTTGAACTATTTTTTACCAAGAAAAATCTATGAAATGAAAACAACAGACTAAAAATAATAAAATAATCTTTAGCATTGAAACTCAATAAAACAAATTACAGAAGGGTACACAATGTAAGGTACTACATTTTGTCACTGAAAGACAAAAAGAAATATTAAAAATTCAAAAAATAAATATTTTAATAGACAAAATTACCATATAATCATTTTAAAACATAGGGATTTATATTCTGTTAAAACTTATCATATAATTCATCATACATTTACATTAACTTTATCTAAAAACCAGTTTCCTTTTCCTGAAATTTTGAAATTAAAATTTAGGACATTAAAAAATGATGTACCACATATGAAAGGCATGACCTAAATAATGTGGATCTCGGTAAACACATCGAAATAAGTAAAATGGGAGCCATTTTCTGACACGGAGAAATTTCGGATCGTTCGTTGTTGTTAAAAACATTTTAAATTAAAATTTAATACATTCTATTAAGTTATAATTAAATAAGAACTTGGTAATAAAGGAAATTAATATATAATGAATAATAAAACAAAAAAAAACCAAACAAAATTAATATTTATGGATACTTTAAAAACTTAAAAAGTAGTGATAATGAGCAAGAAGTCGTATAACATTNAAAAAAAAAAAAAAAAAAAAAAAAAAAAAAAAAAAAAAAAAAAAAAAAAAAAAAAAGAAAAAGAAAAAAAAAAAAAAAAAAAGAAAGAAAGAAAGAAAGAAAGAAAGAAAAAACCTTGTCACAATTTCATACAGTGTAATAACTCTCAAAGTGTACTCGCAAGAAAAGTCACTCATTGCTGATCTACAGTAATAGAAATGATAGTCTAGGTTGTTTCATATCAACAAATTGACCATAACACTTGTGTGTTATGTGTATAATATGAATCTTTTTTACACCCATAGCAGTGAGTTTTGGAACTAAATTTTTCCTTGTGGAAGTCTTTTCTATATGTTTAGAATATTAGCATACAAAATTTGGTTAAGTTTTGACTGCTAAATATCCTTATAGACAGTGTTAAATAGAGTTAGTTTAATTATCATCACCTGGTAATTCACAATGAAATTAATTTCAAATAAGCAATCACATCAACTTGTTTTGACTGTTTGTTTTGTTAAGTGACATCAGGATGCAATAGTGCATCAGTGCATCCTGATGTCACTTAACAATTATAATTTTATTATAATATTATAACAAAATTATAATTTCATTAGCATACATATAATAGTAATAATGCTATAAGAATTTCAAACTGAGATAAAATTATTGATTTCATTTTAATCTGAACTTCAATATTATTTGACTCAAATTTTATACACATGATGGCCCAAAAGCCAGTTAACAAAGACATATTTTTCTTAAGAATGATTAAAACTGAGGTATGGAACAGATACACATTACTATTTGCTTAACTGCTTCCATGTATATTTAAATTATTATCTCAGTTAACTGATTTTTGGACTACCATATATTATTAGAAGCAATACCAAATTTATTTGTGTTAAACTTACGATGTTAGCCTTCTTATCCTTTTCTTTTCCAGACATTTTCTTATTTGATAATTCAAACTGTTATGAAACAAAAATTTGTAATTATAAATGAGTATCATCATTCAATTATAAAATAAAATATAAAGGAAAACATTAATAGGTTAAACAAGACGCAATAATTATTTATCTGTAATTAAACATGCAAACACTTTAAATTAAGTACTAATGGATTAATTAATAATTAAGTAGTTAATCACCGACAGGTTAATTGGCAATTAATGCTTGTCATACGTATCATTATTTATATGTTGGCCAGACTTTGATCGGATATTATGCTTCCGATCCCGAGCCTCCAAAATTCTAGTTCTTTTTATTGTGCTTTCTCGAATATATATTTTTATTAAATCAACTTATTTTAAAATATCAGCAGTAAATTTTAGTTAATTAAATATTATACATAAATATCAATAATAAACTAATTAAATTATAATGCGATAAATCACAAAAGCAGACAGAACTCGGCAGTCTTATTCTAGTTATTCTCGGCTAACCGTAAGCCAAGAATGGCTAGAATGACTGCCAAAAAATTGCTGATTAAATATTTTTTGGATTTTAATAATGATGAATTTTGAATTAAATAATTTTGGTTAATAAAAAGATTTAAAATATGGTAGGATGGCCGAATCAAATGCTATTTAGAAATCCTTGAAACAATCCAGATTAAAAATTCCTGTAAAGATTTGGTAATGCAATTATCAAGCAGTAGATTTGAACTATCAATTTTCAGAAATCCATCATCAAGAAAAACTGCTTTATTTGGAGATATTGTGAGAGTAGCCAAGGACGTAGGTCTCAATCTACGCCACTTACGGGCACTAGTCGGTAAGACCAGTTCTCTAGCTTTAATAGGAGAGCGTTATCAAAATTGATCCGAACGGCGAAGTTCCGATGTTCGTCAGGATTCCTTGACACCAGTTAATCAGTCTTATTATACGCGGATTAACACGCGTATGAGATCCGATTCGGAATCAATTCAAGAGACATTTAAGTAAATTTAACAAGAGTAAATTTAATAATTCAAAACAAACGAATACAAATATCAATGAACGAGGGACAATAAAATGACAATTAGATTACACGATATTGGCTTAGACTTATTCTATACCGATGCGCGATCGAGAGAGAGAGCTCACAAAATTGGTATAAAGCATACGACCTGTTTAGTTGTCGTTCGTCTTCCTCTCTGTAGGTAAGGGACACCTTGTAGATAGAGTTCATTTACTTCTTCGTACGGGAGATCAATACGTGCACAAATATAAAAGTATCTTTACTAAGTTCAGACTCGTGACTTAGTCTATGGGACTCGTTTAAGGGCGTTGGTCATCAGGAGGAGAACTGTGTGGAGTTTTGACGCTTCGGATCTGTCGAAGAACTCCCTCGCTGAACTCCCCGAATTCGGACTAAATTCCCTTATATCTCCTGAATTTCGACCAATCATCGGCCAGTAACTCTTTCATGAGAACGGACGAAAAGGGGATGAATAAGGGGTAACCATTTCCCATCTGAGTGAGATTTTTAACCAGATAAGGGAAAGTCAGAGGATGTTCTCTTCTGTGAAAGGAAGTAGCATCTGTTATCTGGTTTTTTCCCACATCTAAAACACTAGTTTTTCACAAAAATGAAGTAATATTTTGTGTCGATATTTTACCATTATTAATAAAAATTCATAAATTAGACCCAGGGCCTTTCGGATCTCACAATATTAAATTTTCTTTTTATATTACACTATACAAACCAAGTGCTTTCAGGCTTTTTGGACAGCTCCAAAGAAACTTGGTTCATATAATATATTGTAAAAAATGTTTAAATACCTCCAAATAAAGCAGTCTTCTTTAATGGGGTGGTAGTTGAGAGTCAGAGCACAGTGATCGGTTTCAAGAATTTAATCAATTTATCATCAATAGAGATTGTTCAGTCTAACAGTAGTCAAACTTTTTAATACAGGCACCACTTGGCTCATTCACTATAACAAATGTCATAAAGAATGAGCCTAACCAATTGCAACTCTTGGTTATACAACAGAACACATCTAGCTAGTGTTTTAATAAATTCTATTAAGAGCAGTTCTGCATTTGATGATTAAAGGGCAGATTTAGTTTAAAAATAAGATAAATGAAGAAAAATTTGTAAGTGATACTTAAAATTATAATTGTAAATTATACAGACCATTCACAAGTGACTTGTGGTCTGTGGACAACACGCATCTGCGAGGTCCTAATATGCACTTCCCAGAGCTTTGACAACAATTTTATTTTCTGGTTTTCTCCCTTCCGCTATTATACAATCTAATTAAATTGATATTTGTGATAAAGAACGTTCAGACTAAACTTGATCATTAAAAAGATGAGAATAAACTATATATTACTACTTTATACATATTATTTTCTTTATATTTAGTGTACTGACAGTTGTGGTGTATGCCGGTACTCGGCAGGCTTAAAACCTGCAACTTCATAAGAAAAAAATGCACTGGGCCCACCAGAAGCCTGCAAAGTTCAGCCCAAGTGCAGAAACAGTTGCTCATCACTGTCTTTCATTTGCAAATGAAGTGTCTATATGAGAAGAAAACACCAACAGCAAAATGATTTGACATAAAACTCTTGGTAACATATTGTACTACTACACAAGATCCAATTTCTGTTTGAAATATAAATCCTTAAACAGCCTTCAAAACTTTGAAACACATAAAAGTCTGATAAAATGGCCAGGACAGTAAGTACAAAGAAAATTTATTTAAAAATTTTCAAACAAAGCATACATTAAAGGTGTCTTCATCTTGTCTTTTCTATACACCTCAAATGCCTATTAAATCAATATAAATTATGTTTGATAAAAATTTCCGGGACAAACAAAAAAAATATTATTTGTCCTGACAATTTTTATCAAATTTATTTATCATCTTTTAATTGTCAGAGGGATATTTTTAATGTTTTACATATTGAGGCAGACAAGTAGCCTCAAATGAAAGATCAATTCTGCTGTGAAACTGTTAATTTTCCTTGTGTGCATACAAAGGGACAACATAAGACAAAACTATGTATTGTCTGCTATACTGAATTTTTTAAAAATTTTGTATATTTTATAAATTGTGTTATCAATTGTTTTAAAAAATTTAAAGATATAACTAGTAAACAATAGATCCGAAACCATCAATCTTTCGAAAAATGATTCTACAATATACTGCATTAATGCAAACTAGAAATGATGACATCTTTTGATATGCATAAACAATAGCAACACGATGACTCAGACTTTTGATACATATATATTGTTTTTAACTTATTTTCACTTTCTATGCTCTAATCTATTTAGTAGAATAAACATTTTATTTATATTTAGTATATCTATGATAGAATAACTTTGCTATTTAAAATTCAGATAGTACAATTTTAAAAATTTATAAACTGGAATGTGATAAAGTAGTGATAATGAGCAAGAAGTCGTATAACATTCCTGGATGACCAATATGGAATTTGGATTGAGATAATTATTGATATTCATATATTTCTGTAAACCAACTTTTCCTTTAAAAATTTTATATTAATAACAAATACTGTACTGCAGTTTCTATAACTATATTTTTAGGACGAGTGTAATGACAGATGAATATGCCTCATCACAAATCCTAACACATAAATAATTAAATTGTCAATTTAATATTAATTATGCTAATTAATTATGAAAATTTATTNGGGGATGACTGAGGGGTAACCATTTCCCATCTGAGTGAGATTTTTAACCAGATAAGGGAAAGTCAGAGGATGTTCTCTTCTGTGAAAGGAAGTAGCATCTGTTATCTGGTTTTTTCCCACGTCCAAAACACTAGTTTTCACAAAAAATGAAGTAATATTTTGTGTCGATAATTTAATATTATCAATAAAAATTATTAAATGTGACCCAGGGCCTTTCTGGTCTCACACAGATTGTTAAAAGCCAAACAATATTCATTAGCTGTTAGAGAAGATTAATCTGGTTAAGTTGTCAGTCACCTTTTACTTTCATACATATTAATGTTATTTAACTTCTGTCTTATTGTTGGAATTAAGCTTATGGTACCAGAAAACCATACACTTTTCCGAAGTTATTCATTCATTCAACAAGAACCGTAGCACAGCAGTAATGAAATAGAAAGAGTTTTAAGGTTAACACAACAATGTTCATTTGGTGTAAGTTCAAAGATCGTGTTACGAAAGCGATTTGCCAACCACTTTAAAGTGTAGGAAGATATTTGGTTTTCTTGAATTTATGATGTAATTTTTGATCTTAACAGCTTTGTGGTAGCTAGTGTAATTTTTAACAAATCAATTATTGAAAAAGCAAAAATGTTTGAAAAATTACATCTCAATAACTACAAAGTAGACAAATCACTATATCGATTTTTATTAGTTGCTTAGATCATAAATGACGTCATAAATGCAAGAATACTGAATACCTTTCTTACCCCTTGAAGTGGCTATAAAATCATCTTCGTAACTTGACATTCAAACTCTAATTGCCTAAACCCTTCTTTCTGTTCATAACAACAGTTTCATTTTTCTTGTTTGTTACTTCCACTCAGGTCATTTTTGATGAATTTATAATTAATCAACATTTACATTTCCATTTTGTTTAATTTTTATGTTCCATTTAATTACAATATCCTATACAATTTGTTTCCCATTTAGAATTAAATTAAAATGTGAACAGCTGAAAAGATAAATAATATACTGTATATATATTTTAATTATTTATTCTATGTATGCTTTTTGGTATTTTCACATTCCTAATGCAAATTTGATGTTTTCATAATCCATTGTATTCTTCACTTTATAATGACCAGGTTAAAATACAATATGACCACCAGCATATACCTCCAAATAGCAGACAAACTTCTTGGTCCCAAAAGTGTCCACTATTTGGAGGTTATACTGTATACATATATAAAAGTAAAATTTTTAGGTATTCAGTCAATTCCTGATAAATTATTTTCAGTTACAGTTTATCAATAAATAGTGTGTACAACTCCAATTCCCTAAAACAACAAAATTCTGCTTTATTGGAGTTCACTCACATTGAGTAACAGATTATCTAGTTCGTTCAAACAACCAGGACTTGATTGACCAAACAAAGAAATAGACTGTTACTCAATGAGTTCCAATAAAACAGAGGTTTGTTATTAGTTTATCAATATTTATTCTGTTTCTTTTCAGATAAACTATGATTTATTTTAAAAAATTTTAGATTTTATGATTATAACTGTAACACAAATTTTAGAAGTATAAAACAATGAAGAAAAGAATGTTTATAAAGAGTCAAAGAAATCGCTCAAAAAATATTGTAGGTATAAGTTATGGTATTCATATTGTTTATAACTATCTTCAAATTGCTAATATTTTACCTTAAAAAAAGTATTGTAAACAAAATTTACAGAATCTTTGCATTTACACTGTGTATCTGATAGATTTGTAAGCAGAAAGATTCTGAAACAAAGAAATATCTGATTTCTTTGATTGCTTCCAGCTACTGAAAAGATTTCCAAATTTATTAAAAATAAAATTTTTATTTTTTTTTCTCACAAATATTATCCAGAAATGATGATAAGAATATTAACAATGGAGTCAGTACTATCAAAGGAATTAGTTTCTTTAATGTTAACTGTGAAGAAATTTACTTATGGATTGTCTGTGTTTATGAATAAATCAGTCCCCTTAAACAACTATTAATATTAACATAATTATCTATTTAAAATAATACTAACAATGTTATATACATATATAAACATCTCAGAGCCTGATATTTTATAATAAGCCAAGTGACTGCCAGATTTGCAATCGTTTGGCATGATGTACATATATATACCATGCCAGGTAAAGAAATTACCAGCTGAATGCCATAGTGAGTGATTATAGGCCATGGGTGAAGAGTTGTCCCAGGCAGCACCACAAGTAACTGAGGTTAGTTATATCTAAATTAAATATGTCTGGAAGTGCGGGATCAGACAAAGGTCTAGGTAGCGTAACTAGCAATGCATCTGCATGGTAAGCAGAAGTTATGGGCTTGAATCCCACTCTGGTTCTATTCTTTTCTCCAGAATATTCTAAATTGTTTAATAAATATTAATTTAATTATAATTATTAAATTTAATAAGAGATGATGCCTAATGACCACCTCTAGTAACAAATTACACCATATTTAATTACTGATAGCAGTAAATTTCTAATAGCCTGATTAACCCAGCAAAAAAAATTATTGAAGAAAAAAGGAGAATAAAGTAAATAAATTCTGTAAGTGCTGATTAGTCTGTTATTAATTACTCAACTTGATTTTAAACAAATTAATTAATCTATATTATCATTATTTCTAATAAAAAATGTGCAAAGTAATTGAATAATTGTGTACTTACTCTTAACATAATTCTGTGTTCTATATTCAATAATATTTTCTTCCTTTCTCTGTAATCTCTAATAAGTGTATGTAAAGTATCACAATGTGGTACCCAACCAATCAAACCACTATTTGTTGATAATGGAATGACAGCATATCTTTGGATTCTAAAAGAATGTGGATAAATTCATAGAAATAATTTGTCATTAAAATATAAATTTTAAAATTTAAAACTTTAACAAAACTATTCTATTAAAGAAAAACAAGCATGAAATTTGCTCATTTATCAAAGCCCAAGTACTTTTGAGCTTGCTAAGAGCATCATCACAGGAAACTAAAATAGAAACTTCTACATTCAAACAATTTGAAAAGAATTCTAAAATATTTAAGCAGACAAATTCTGATGTAAGTCCCATCTTCTGGTCATTTTTCTTCATACTGTGATGTTGTTTATTAAATCTTAAAATTTTTAATAAAAATATTTAACTTTCAAAAAACATGTTCTTGTTATCAAATGCTATTGTCTGTCCTTTTTTACCTTCTTGTTAATTAGTTTATATTTATGAAAATCAATGTCTAAGAGCAGACAAGTCCAATAGCTAATGATACAATGAGTAATTTCTGATGATAGAATAAAGAAAGAATATGAAAGACATAAAAACACCAAGAAAATTATTTAAGTTAAATAATAAAGTTGTATATCTTAATACTTATTATAAAATATTAGTAATAGTAGTATTATATTCAAAAGCAAAGCTGTTCACTGAATTTTATTGTTTTTGTTAAACATGTTCATCTTGACATGATCTATTGATTGAATGATAATGAATTTTTCTACAAACAGTATGCACCATCACTACCACACATTGTCATGACATTCTCTAAAGGAGTGGCCAAGAAAAAGTGGCTTTCCTGTCCACAACACCCTGCTTCAGTCCTGTGAAGAACATCATATGAACAGGGCATAGCACACCAGAAACACTCACCCAAACTTTCACTCTGGGACCTACTGAAATCATACCTGACAATCTTGAATAATTTCTGTCTATCCATACTTATCTCTTTTGCTTCTTCCACATTCATAACTCTTTTCACACACTCTTGGCACCTTCTTTCATTCAGAATCTGTTTCTCTTTCAGATATTCTTCCACTTGTTCAACCCATCTTTCCCTCAGTCTTCCATGCCCTCTTCTTCCTTCCACATTTCCTACATACAACTTCTTACACATCTCATTTTTTGACATTCTCTCTACTCAGCCAAACCAACCTAGACATCCTTTATACACTTGCTCAATCACATTCTCTTTCACACTGCACTGCACCAACATAACTTCATTACTCACCAGATCTCTTCTTGTCACACCCCATATACATTTCAGATATCTCATCTCAGCTTTAATCAATCTGCTCATATGCTTCATCCCCCACACCCATACAACAGTATTGGGAGGACCACACTCTTGTACACAGCCATACTTGCCTTCTTCAGAAACATATTCTTATGAACCAATCACTGTGTACCCAACCACTTTCATAAAAGCATTCACTTGTCTTCCAATTTTCCTATCTATTCTGCTATTCCTCTCAAATGTGCTCCCCAAGTAGTGAAACATAATTAAAATTGGTTTATATGTTTAGTTACTGAAAATGTTTTTAAAATGCAATGTTTTGTGATTGATTATGATACATAAAAGAATAAGTCATTTTTGTTAATGTCAGATATATATCTACTTTAAAAATAAAATTATAAATTTATATTTAAATTAAATTCTAATGTTAATTATTTTTGTTTATAATGAGATAGAATATCACTAGCAAAAATTAGATATATTTTAATAATAAAAAATACTAAAATGACAGTAACAGTTATAAGTGAAAAATAGTCTGATTATCTAATTTTAAAACAGAACTAAATATCATCAGTGAAACAAATCTAATTAATTACTGTTATAAAATTCAAATTAATAAAAAAAATCTAAAAATAATCAGAAATCATCAAACAACACCAGTCACTAATGTGTAACACAGCTAGGAAGCCATAAAACATCCCAATAATATTTTTTTACATAAGCACTATAAAACTATATAAATAAATTAAAATACAAATTAAAAAAGAATAACCTAACTGTCAACATATCAAATATATTTCTATGCATTTCATTTTATTACTCTGACATAAAAATTAATCAATGTAATATATCAATAAAGTTAAGATCAGTAATAACAAATGATTTAAGAAATAATTTAAATATTCAAATGAATCCTGTTATCAAAGTTTATGAAAAACTGCTACTCTAAAAATTATATTGAAAAGTGAACAACAACTACTCAAAAGCCATATTATTTATCAAAATTGTGATCTGTTTGGTTATTTATCAAAATTATGTTTTAAATTTACATAAATTGTAATAACTTACGTTAAATTTCGTAAAGATGTTTCAGGATCATTTATAAGAAGTGTATTGACCAAGCCAAATAGCTGCATTACTCTTTCATCTTGTCTTAAATCTTCATGTCCTTTTAATAAGAACATGAAATCTTTGCCATTACTACCTATAAAAAAAAACATCATCATAATTTTATATATAATAAAATAAAAGTAAAATATTTATATTTTAAGGAAAACTGGAAAGTTGTTGCCAAAAATTAAGGTGCAGAAAAAAGGACTTTATTCAAAGATAATACAAAAAATTAACCGAGACTGTATTCCCAGCTGTTAGGTATGGCCCAGAACCAGCATTTGACCAACTTTTGAATATCCTCAAAAAAAGATGGCTGCTTGAGAGAAACAAAGTTTATCATGTTTTTTGCAGCTTCTGATTCAAGTAGCATTTCACCATTATGATGATTTTGCACACATCAAAGTAAGTAAAAAATATCTGATGGGCAAGGTTTGGCAAATATGGTGAGTGATCACAAGTTCCTCCACCTGCTAAAGGTGATGGTCATCTTGGTCTATGGTCATCTTTTCACTAGTATGTGGTTTAGTGTTATCTTGATGAAATAAAACTCTCTTCTGATTGGCTAATGATGAATGAGTTTCAATAATCCTTGTAACCAGGTTATCAAGCACATCACAGTAGCTGTCACTGTCAATTGTTTTGTCCAACAATATGTAGCAACTGTACTGTACTGTACATGATTCCTCGACAATCCCAGAATACACATAGCATTACCTTCTCATTACTCAAAGCATGCTTAGACTTGGTGTGTGATCATTCACTGGACATTATATAGGAATTTTGGATAGTTGCATTGTAATAGTTGAATAATTGAACTTTCAAAGAAATCCACATGTCTTGGAGTGTCATTTTCCCTCCAAAAAAGTGAGAAAAGTGAGTTGAAATACAGAAACAGTGAGAAAAAGTGAGTGTAATAGTGACGAAACAAAGTGAAAACATGGAAGGAAAACTCAACAAAATAGCAGTAAAAGTTGTTTTTTTCTCTTTTTAATCTGTTATGGTTAAATACATTTTAAACATTTCTGTATATTACTGTAATACAGTAGCCATTCTGTTATATCACAGATTCAAAAATATCGCATTTTTTTGGTCCTCCAAATTTTAAAATACCAATTGCCATTGAATTTCTATTTGCAACAAAATACAGTATTTCTACCATTGTCTTTGAAACTACCACTGAAGGTGAAACAACAAATTCATCAAGATCTAAATATGCAAAACAGGCAGACATATCAATTGTCATCTGTTTTAAATAATTGTCTTTTGATATAAAAAATTGCTTAATTGTTAGTTTTAAGTATCATCTCCTCATTTACAAATTTCTGTGAATTTTGAACCTTTATGAAAACTGACAGTATTTCATCAATTCACATAAAGGTGTGAAATTTCAAATTCACCACATAATGTGTAAGGAAAAGATTTCTTTAATTCTGAACAGAAAGTTTTTATACAGTAGTAACTTTATTTTGCTTTTTAGAGAATTTTTACTCTCTGTAATTTTATAAATTTTGTTTGTTCTATTATNGTTGTCAGCTTGAGAGATTAATCCCTCGGCATAGCGTGTTTTTCCCTTCTTACAAAACAGCCAAAAGCGTAGGGATGCTTAATTAAAATACTTATTTTTAATCCCCATAGATAGAAATGCAACTCTGAAGAACTAGATTTTGATTAATAATGACAATATGGCAGGAGTACATAACTTTAATTGATATTGGCTCAATTTTGGCTTCTGAATTTGTAATGAGAGGGATTTTTTAAGTGCATGAAAAATTTACATACATGAAAGGAAATTTTGTTTCCTATAACCTAACAACACTAAGTGGAAGTTGCAATTTTGAGTCCCGCTCAGAGCCAAGATTTTCTTCCAGAAAATTCTAGTCCGATAGTCTGATAATTTGGCAGATCGTTTGGCTTTAAAATTATTTTTGATTGGTCGCACATCTTAATTGAGCACGTGGAAATTACCAAAAAAGTGAGAAAAGTGAGAAAATGACCTGAAAGGTGAGAAAAGTCAGGATACTTCAAAAAAGTGAGTACAAGTGAGAAAAGTGAGTGACTCTGAGTCCTGAATCCATTTCTCTTCACAGGTCACAAAGGCAATATATGAAGAGTCAGATCTGTACCAATTTAGAGCAATACACTCTTGAAAATGTGGCCATACTTTTTCTGTTCAGTCAGGATGTGCAGCACACACTTTGTGTGCTTGATACTTAAATTCTTCAGTGCCTCACAAACTGTTGACTAAGCAAACCTTAGCTCAGAATTATCTCCTGAGTTTCAAACTCATGAGATCGACAGGGCTTTCTCCACTCTCCGCAATAAGAAATCCCCGGGCCATGACGACATCACCTCAGAGATGGCTAAGACCCTCTGGAACCTCATCCCCACTAAGCTGACAAACCTCTATAATGCTTGTCTCCGCCATGGTGTTTTTCCCCAAACATGGAAAAAGGCCAGAATTGTCCCTGTCCCCAAACCTGGACGCACTAATGAAAGCAGACCGATTTCCCTCCTGCCGGTTCTTGGCAAGGTCCTGGAACGGCTTCTTAACAATAGGCTTGTTTGGTACCTGGAAAACAACTCCATACTGCACAACTCGCAATTCGGCTTCCGTCCACAGAAATCCTCTTCTGATGCCATCCATAGGGTTATTGACAACATTGACCACCTCCTCCAAAATAACAAATATGTCTTGGCCATCAGTCTTGACATCGCTAAAGCGTTTGACAGTGCCTGGTGGCCGCTTCTTCTCCATCAACTTCGTAAGATTAAGTGCCCAGCTAACCTTTACTATCTCATACGGGACTACCTTAGGGACAGAACCGCCTTTCTACAATGTGGAGGTCACACTATCCACCGCTCTGTTGTCCGTGGCTGCCCTCAGGGCTCGGTCTGTGGACCAACACTCTGGAACATTTACTTCAACGATTTTCTCCAGCAAGACTTTGGGCACCATGATATAGTGGCCTACGCCGATGATGTTTTTCTGCTCCTTGGGAGCCGCTCTCGTGCAGCCATTGAAAAAGACGGCAACGCCATACTTGATAAGATCTTAAACTGGGGAAGAAACCACAAGCTCGTTTTTAACGCACAAAAAACTAAATGTGTCGTTTTTAATAGACCTGGCCAGCAGAATCTTTACCTTAGAGTCCCCACCATTAAAATGGGGGGACAAACCATTGCCGTTGAAAAGACCATCAAGTACCTGGGCATTGTACTCGACCACAGGCTGCTGTGGAATGCTCACGTTGAATACATCACCGAGCGCACAGGACACATCTTCAACACCTTTGCTGGCATTGCTCGTAGACGCTGGGGCCTGGCCTCTGAGGCCATGGATGCCATTTACAACCAAATCTTTGTCCCCATAATTACCTATGCCTGTGGCAGCTGGGGATGGTCTACCTGCAGGGTTCACATTAAAAGAAAACTCATCGCCGCACAACGCAAAGCCCTCTTGCACATTACGAGGGCCTATAGAACGACACCCAACTCCTCTCTTCAAGTCCTGGCAAGAAAAATGCCCATTGACAAACATATCTCCCTACAAACTAAAGTTTGGCATCTTAAATGGGGCAGCACTATCCATACAGCTACACAGGAAATTAACCATCACGACCTCGAGTGCGCCATCCACTTCTCTCGTTCCAATCACCCTGCTATCCCTAATAAATTAAACTTCTTCCAGCCTGAGCATACCGATTTAACAGTCTATACTGATGGGTCTAAATGTAACAATAATGTTGGTAGCGGTTTTGTCGCCTACCTAAACAACACCGAAATTGCGTCTGAGCGGTACAGACTTGGTGCAGACTGTACCGTCTTTCAGGCGGAAATGTACGCGATAAGCATGGCCGTGGCTTGGACTGCCTCGAACTATGATTCCCAGACTGTTACTATCATCACCGACAGCGAGTCCTCTATTGCAGCCTTAAAAAACCATTGTGACCACCCCATCTCCACCAGCATCCATAGTGACATCAACAAATCCAGCAACATTTACTCCATCTACTGGACTCGTGCCCACCAGGGCACTCTCGGTAACGAGAGGGCCGATGAACTCGCAAAGAGCGCCTGTGAAGACAACAACCTTCCAATTGTCTACAGCAAGATCAATATTAAAACTATAAAAAACATCATTCGCAACGACCTCCTCGATCTTTGGCAGGAGGACTGGGACAGACAAAATCATCCCATCACCCATCAACTCATTCCTAACATCAAGACCTTCCTTGCTATCCCCTGGTATAGACCGACCCAACGTACCAGCCAATTTCTTACCAATCACGGACGCTTCTATTCCTACCTGGCTAGATTTGTTAACTCTCCAACCTTCAGCTGTTCCCTTTGCGATGTCGAAGACGGCTGCCTTCACTATCTACTCACCTGCCCAATGCTTGAGCTTGAGAGACACCTTCTTCGCACCTCCATGGAGACACATGGTTATCACTGGCCTGAAAACCTCCACGGAATTATGAACAATAGTGACACCTATGCTGCACTACTTCACCTCATTGACATGTACTTTAAAAGGACTACTGTTGCTGCTTTCAACTGAAACCTCACTTACTGTGTTCTGTGCCTTTATTGCACATCATCCTGATATTATGTATTTTTATAACTGTATCACTAACCTCAGCATCTCATATCACTTATTTTCGCATCACTGTAATGATATGTAATTATCTATATGTATATTTTGTACAAATTGTATGTATGTATAATTCTTCTTACTGCTATGTACCCATTAATTTTATTGTCTCATATTTCATACCTTTATATTTTTATATCATTATACTTTCATATTTTCTTATTTTTCCCTATTCCCTTATTATGTATTTTATCCTACTAAATGTATCGTTATTATGTAACCATCAACTCCACTTTTCACCTGGCTATATGTGCGCCAGGATTTGTTGTACTCCAACAAGTTGTAAATAAAATAAAAATGGTAAATGTATGATCAATAATCTCAAACAACTGCTACTTCAGATCAAGATCAATCTCCTGCAATTGTTCAAGAGTATGGCTTTTCTGCAGTGTTGTAAAGCAAACCAATTTCTGACAGTGCACTTATCAGCTTAGACTGCTGCACTGAATGTTTATAATCCTGCTTTCAGCATAAATGTCCAATAAACAGAAACCACAGGCATAAAAACTAATGAAAATATTAAACTGGTTGAATGAAATACAGTATTTACATATAAGTCAAACAGTTAAGATCTGACCTGAGGAGAATATACAGAAATATAATATTCAAGCCTGTTATTTGTAAAATTTTCATCTTAAAAAAGTAGTTTGAAGGTATACATTCCACAAAGAAATACTGATAAAACACATAATCCAGTTAGTATTTAATATGAGATGGCAAATATTTTATTTTTTGGATTTTTCTTCTATATACCAATTAATCAAGAGGAAATTGTACAAATTATTACAGTATCTGACTAACTTTACTTAATAAAAAATAAATGTAGATTGATTCTCTATAAATTATCATATAATATTTTACAATATATTTACTATATTATTTATATTTATTCACCTTTAATACAAAGTTTTCTTGGTCTTTGTTTACTTGTAATAACTTGTAAAGAACTTTCAACTTTTGAGATTCTGATTACTGGCTGACTAGGATTATAACTTCCTGGAACTGCTAATTCTAAATCTCTGCACATCATCAATTTTGGTGAAACATATTGTAACTCCAATGAAGTCAGCTATTAAAAATGTATCAAACTATTACAAAACTTAAATTGATTTTTATATTTAATTCTTTTGAGAAAAAAATAACTAACTTTAAAACAATAGTTTAGGCCAGGGATGGTGAACCTTTTTATGTTTGCATGCCATATTGTAAGCATACTTAGCTTTAAAGATGTTTATGAGTGCCAAAGTTTCAGACTTTGAATAATGATATTTAAAGAAATTAAACAAATACGCTTTAATTAGAATAAATGTAAAAAAGCTGATTGAAAAAAAAAAGATCAGTTGATAAACTGAAAAGATGATTGAAAAAGACAGAAATTGTATGATACATTACGTGCCAGATGATTTCTCCTTACGTGCCACTTTGGGCACGCGTGCCATAGGTTCGCCAGCCCTGGTTTAGGCAAATGCTTATCAATTTTTATATTTAATAACAAAACAATAAATTTACTTGAGGCAGCTGTTTTGATATTCTTCGAAATACATGATAATATAAATCCCAAGCCTGTGTTAAATCTTGCATATTTCCGGTACGTTGATATCGTTTACAATGTTCCAGAGCTTCTGTTAAATCTCGTCCATAAGCCTATTAGAAAAGAGAAAATTGATTTTTATAAAAATTTTATGCATGTTTTAATTTCTACTTCAAATCACTTACTTTTTCTATTTTGCTGTTTTGCTATTATATAAAGGTTTGTTATTGGGGAGTAAAGTCATAAAGTCTATTCAATTTGTGACTGCATATAATTTAAATTTTTCATTTGATAAATGAAATTCAAGCTATTTCTAGATTAACAAATTTTTGCAACGATGGAATTTTTTAAGTAACACATGTAACTATCAGTTTAACTTAAGTGTATATTTATATTATATACTTAATCCCTTTATGCTACTGTGTATATCAAAATTGCATTAATCAAATAAAATGGTAACTTGGTACACAACCGAACAATCACGACCCAATAAAACAAATTTTCAGTTAATAATACAGGTAGCCCCCATATAACACGGTAGTTATGTTCCAAAAAATTGCCATGTTATGCAAAACAAAGAACTAGTACGAAAAGGAGGGTTAGGTTTCAAAAATTAAAAAACATGCTACTATATTTTCATAATTAAGATAAATATCTTTATTAAAATTTTTTTAAGTGATACATATTAATATAAATTAAACAATGTTTTCTTTGTCATCACTAAAAGCACTATTAACTGAGAGCGTTTTATTTTTGGCAAGTTATCGTTATCCTCTGAGCATTTTTCTGCATTATTTTCAGATTCATGCTTTACCTTTTGCAAAAAGTGTATGTAATTTTAGATTGCTTGCTTCTAGTTAAAAGATCTTTATAAATTTCCTTATATGGTGCTAAGCACTTATGGAATAAGGGAAAAACATCTGGCAACACCAGAAGCAGAAGCGTCGAGATCTGGCAAAATTGAAACAATTTTCGCGAAGGACCATGTGTATGAAGACGAGAAAAGAAAATTTACACACTGAAGTACTAATAGTTCACGAAAATAATAATTTTCGTGAACTATTAGTACTTAAGTATGTAAAAATTTATTACATTTCATGTTGTACGAGGGTTTTACCCATTTCTCGAACCGTGTCAAGAGTGAATCCGTGCTATAAAATACCGTGTTATACGGGGGATGGTACCAATTCTCGAACCGTGTTAGAGTGAATCCGTGCTATAGAAGTGCCGTGTTATACGGGGGATGGTACCAATTCTCGAACCGTGTTAGAGTGAATCCGTGCTACAGAAGTGCCGTGTTATACGGGAGTTACCTGTAAATATTTCTATTTTAATAAATGAAACTATCAAATTCACTAACATCTTATTTGACATGAAAAATATATCTATGTTAGATAAAGACAGCTGTTAAAGCACACGTTAATTAGAACCTTTACCACATATTAAAGGGGATTGCTGCAATTTATGCATTAATTCAAAAAAATTCCACATTAAGCAAGGGCTACCTATATTCTCTCACTTTTATGTATTTTTTTTTTTTTTTAACTATATTGTATTGTATTTTTATTGGATAATCTTATTTTGTATTTTTATCTTGTACTTTTTAATGTCATTATTTTGTTTGTTTTATATATGTTTTATTGCATTTTGTGTGTTTTTGTAGTTGCTGTTTTGCTATTATATAAGGGTTTGTTATTGGGGAATAATTCTTTCTTGTCCATTGAACATTATCTGTATTAATTTAAAATGAATAAATATATTTTGTGTCACTTGCCTGTTCTGCTTTAAGAATACTTTTCTCAATTTTAATATTCTTTATTTATTAATTTAAATACTTGTTGTGCTTTAAATAATTATCTGTTTATTTATGAATCTTTGCAAAAATTTTCCATCTTTGAAATTGAGATCCAACACTTTGATATTTAATTATTTGTGAATACATTTCCATTAATAACTTAAATACAGAATAAAAATTTAGGATAAAAAAAATGTTACCTGATTAAATGAAATTTCCTTCAAGGTTTGTGGTCCACGATCCATCATGTGATGAAGAGGTTCCAATGTTGCAAACATGCCCCTTATATTTCTTTCACCAAAATAAAGACGAGATGCTTCTTCTAATCCCTCATGCCATAATTCATGCCATAAAATGGCTACACGAATTAGTTCTTCACTAACCTATTTTATATAAATTGTGTTAATATCTATTTCATTAAGACTCAAATACATAAATTAGTAAAATAAATAAAATATTGTATTTACTTGCATATAAGATGAGGTTTTCATTAATTTTTCACTGTTTTAAAAACCTAGGTCATCCTATATGCACAAGTGAAAGATTCTTTGTTTTTGCAATAATTTCTGTGAACCGTGTATAGACCATGCTGCTATTATAGCAGGGAGCTATTGGGCTCAAGGTAAATGTCACTTTCAAAGATATGGTCTGAAAATAGCTTTGACGAAAGGAATGACTGGTCACTATTTCTGACTCACCAAATACCGGTCTACAGTGTATTTATTGTAAGTTGGCATCTACCGTAAACAAACTAAGACACATCCCCTTTTGTTTATTGCTTTAAACCTATGTCCATCAATTAGAAACTGCATTGCATCTCATTTGTCCGCAGAAAATAGTTTGTTATTTATAAAATCATTAATGAAATACTGGTCACTTAGCAATGATTATAAATATAGTTATTTCATATTTGTTAAATTTTTATTTTTAATAAATATTATCACATTCTGAATCATTAAAAATAAACTTTTTCCAGTCATGTGCATTATAATGTTTTGGTTTTGTTTTCCATTCATCATGTATTATTATATGACTGTATTATTATTATTATTAATATGCGCATTTGATAATATTTTATTTGTGATTAAATGAAATAAAATTAAAATTGTATTAATAAATCTAATTTTCTTCATTTTGATCTTTAAAATCACACCTCATCCTATATGCAAGTAAATATGGTACAGTACTTAATATATATTTTTGCATTAATATTATTTATTAAAACTTCAATATATACACTTCATTATATAAATTTAATATAGTATTTAAATCTATTTTTTTTTAAAGATAAAAACTTTTATTGTAATTTCAAATTTACAAATCCAACAAGAAATAGATTTCATGTTGAAATCTATTTCTTGTTGGATTTACATTATGTGAACAAATAATGTAAAACACAAATAAAGATTATTTTTCACTAAAATTTTATATAAAACAAATAAAAAAAACATCTAACATAAGATATTTTTGTATTTGAATTCAGACTACAAAGAATCCAATTCTCCCTCAAAACTGATTGTGTAGAGGTAAAAAATAAAATATTTAAAGAATAAAACTCTATTTATTTCTTTGTTTTTTAAATACAGTTTGATTATTAACTTTATTTTTCATTATCTTATTTTTACTGCCATATTTACAAATCTGAATATACAAACTTACAGGATAATGTAGCTTTTGAAACTAAAGTAAAACCAAGAATTAAACAGTTGGAAGTTAGAGTTAAGATGCTTATAAAAACTTAATACATTTACAATACATATTTTTATTTATTCATAGTAATTATTTTATTTACAAGCATTATTTTGTTTTTATACTCTTTTCATGTTTATATTTATTTACTTGCAGCATTTTATCATATTTCAATAAAAAGTATATACTTTCTACTTTGACACTGATCACTGATGTCACTGTAATGTAAGTGCAATAACTGATCCAAAATCAATAAAACGTTTATTCTATAGCTAATATTTGTGCAAAATAAGTAGCCTATACTTTCATCAAAATATAAAATGAATGTAACCAAAATTTCATCTAGATTGGACAAAAATTCCAGGAGTTATAAGAAATTCACATGCACAAACACAGAACACAGCTTTTATATTATTAATTACATGACATCTCTCTCTGACTTCTTTGCTTAAGACTAACTGTAGTAAACGCCTTAAATTTAGTCTTTGTAAGCCTTTAATCATTACATTTAATCTTTGCAATAATTGATGAACATTTCCTAAATTGATCCTCATCTTCAGATCATCATTCAAAAAATCTTTTGATACCAATGACCATTAGTTAAACTTTTTCACTTGATGGTCAAAAGACTGAATAACGAGTTTATTTTACTATTGTTTATTGTTTATAAACCATAGTAAAATAAACTATTTTATAACAATTAAAAATAAATTATTTTTAATTGTTATAGAATAGATATGAATGTTGTGTAAACAACTATTTGTATTATAAGCAGTTAAAAATGGCAATTTTTCTGTCCTTATTGATAAAGATACAGAATATATTCAATTATCAAAAATATAATGAAAATGAATATAATTAGAATTAAAATTAATCTAAAATTACCATTTTTTATAAATAAATTACAGTGTAAACAATATTAATAAAATACACTGAGTATTATTTTATAAATAATCTATAAAGTAATAATATAGTTTAAGTATACTTTATTAAAATGTAAACTAAGATAATATTGTTAGTAAAATTACCATCATTGCTTGTTGAACAAGCACACCACTATGTTCAGACATGCTCTTTAATATTTTGTTTGCTGCATTTAAACGAGCTGGAGCAGCAGATTTAGATGAAACAGTTAAAGGATAAATTAATGCTTGAGGATGACATTTGCCTATATCCAATAATAATTGATGAATTAAGTTGCTAACAGTTGGACGAGTTGTGTCAATGCGAGCTATTAATTGTGGAATAACCTGTAAAATATTATGATGATAACTGTACTGCAGATTAAAAATTTAAAAGACCAGCTTAATAATTTTAAAATATTATAAAAAATTAAATTATTATTGTCAAGATGCATTTATTTTCAATAAAATAAAACATATATATTGGATTTTGTAACAGATGCAAACAATTTATAGTAATAAAATAAAACATGTTTCAAAATTTTAACTCCTCTACTTCAGTTAAATCGAATTATTCTTTTTACTTTCTAATAACTTCTAACTAACATTCTATTTTCATTTGAATCCAGTTACTAATTCTGGTTGAAATTAATTTTAAATACCTGAAGCCATGTTTCAATAGGTACAGTCTTAACTCCATCAGAAACAGCTTCATGTACTTCAGTATACTGACCATGATCAAACCATAAAGTTAAAAGTCTGAAATAAAAAACTTGTGACATATATGACTGGAATCTTTTCACAATATTTTTATTTGAGTAAATTGTAATTAGTGAACTAATTATCATTATAAATAATTGATTTTTAACTTGGTAATATTTACAGTGATGCTAATTAACGTAACTTTAAATATAAAAATAATAATTATTAATAATCATTTACCTTAAAGTATCCTGAAGAGAATTACCATGAGAAAGAGCAATAGAATGGAAAAATCCACGTACAGCTGGAACTGCATAATTTCGTATGTGTTCTATTTTCTATAATTAAAACAGAAAAGGGTTATATAAAATAAATAAAAATTTATTGAATAAAATCTAAAAGCTTTTCCTATGAAAAACAGTAGTAATAAATATTTCTGCACTTATTTCTTGAGAATGCAATAAAGCATAATAAACTATTTGAACTAATGTTAAATTATTAGTCTTCTACTAGCTCAGCTATTATAAACCTTTAGAAATGAAAAATATGATACTTAACAACAACACTATCAATAATCAAGAATTGTATGTACACTCTAATAATTTGGAAACATTTATTTATCAATTCTTTGAACATGAAATCACCAAAATTGGTTTAATTCATTCAAGACAAAATTGGCTAATGGGAAAGTTGTTTGACTGATTTTGCTATACAAAATTCCCTTGTAGCCTGAGTAATAAAAACAATTTTGTCTCCAGATACAAAGAAATTTTCAGAGCTTAGAGTTAAATAAATTGACTATGAATGTTTGTTATAAATTTTCTGTGTGCGCTAGATAGTTCCATCCTATTAAATAAAAATTATTCATTTAAAAAAGAAGTTATTAAAATTATTTTTATATTTTATTTAGGCAACTAACTTATAATTAATTTATTTATTCATTTAATTTTCCTAGTTTTTAAAAAGAATAAAGATTAAGTTACACTTTATTACACTAAATTCAGTTCTTTCTTTGGTCACTAAAAAATATTTAAACTAATAACAGTTAAACAAAAACAAAACTTGTGGCATTTAAAAATACTGCATCCTTGTAATAGCTTAGTTATTTTATTTTTTTGTATAATTCATAATTAAAATGTAAAAAATACATAATCAACAAAAATGAACTTTAGTTAGCTCACTTTCATAATGAAAACTGGCAGAACTAGTGACAACTCCTGTAGAATTTTTTTAATACATTTAACAAGGAGAGCCTACGGCTTTGGGGTAACGGATTTTGATGATCTTTGGTGTAGAGGTAGTACACAATGTTAGTGTACTATCTGTAAAATACTAAAGTGCAATACTCAAATATAATCGAGAAAATTGAACTTAAAGTTTTGTTAGCACTTTATATATAAATTATACGTATCTCTATTCGAGCGTCCTGTGGCAGAGTGGTAACGAGTCTGATTCATAAGCTTGAGTTCTCGGGTTCGATTCTCGCGTAAAATTTTTTTTTTAATTCATAAATACTTATAATGTATTTATTTATTTACTCATTCATTTATTTCTTATTATTTATTTATTTTAATTTAATTTCTACTATTCCAAGTCTAATATTTTTATACTTTTGTTGACAATAACGGCGCATTCTTGACACCTATGTGTCAACTTTCCCATCTAATTGTTATCACTAACGGTGACCGATCTAATTATCACTAGGAGCGTTTTTTCTATCGGAGTTCTTTTTCACTCACTCTTTAACAGTTCGTTTCTAAATTTCGACACGAATAGACGTATTTGTGTAGTAAAACTTATTTTGAAAAATTATTTTATAATCAAAAAATGCCGTCAAGAGAAGCAAGTTCTTCACGTTGTGACAAAAAACTGTTGATGATAACTCTTTATACAGTGATGTAAAATACTAACTTGTAAAGTGCAAAACTCAAATATAACCAAGAAAAACGAATATAATTTACTGAAGCAATATTATATAATTACATATTGTCAGATGTACATAATCGTGAATGATACTTATGATAAAAACATTCAAAACAAAAATTCTCTGTCTACACCAAAAACAACAAATAAATGCTGCTTTTTTTAAGAGGTATTATTAACACTTTTTTCCTCACAACGTGAAGAACTTGCTTCTCTTGACGGCATTTTTTGATTATAAAATAATTTTTCAAAATAAGTTTTACTACACAAATACGTCTATTCGTGTCGAAATTTAGAAACGAACTGTTAAAGAGTGAGTGAAAAAGAACTCCGATAGAAAAAACGCTCCTAGT